TTTCGTGTTTTTGCAACCACGCTTTAAGATGATACCGCTTTTTACACTTGCTGCATTTAAACGTACTGCCATCATCTTCGCTCTCGCTTTCATCTTCGTCTTCACTGTCTTCTGCCTCTACCGTGTTCACCGCCCTCTCGTTGTCTTCTAAAAGTTCTGCTAAATCATCTTCATCCCACTCTTCAAATAAATCTTCAATATCCATAGTTTGGTCCTGGTTTGGTCACTTACTGTGCAGTGTAAACAAAGTTCTGCAAAAATAAAATTTAGCTTGCGACAGTGACGTCACGAATTTCCACTGTGTTGGAACCGGTGACGAGAGCTAGTTTCCAATCCAGTCTCTTTACTATTCATGCCTTTACATACAGAAAAGCAAACTCATTTATGAAGATCTTAAAACTACATGGTAAATAGTAACATAAAAACAACACTTTTAGCGTCTCTGACAGCCTTCCTGTGGTTCAGCTAAAATACAATCGAAATAGCTTTTCGTCACAACCAGAAACTAATCACGTGTTGAATAGGCTTAGCACTTTCATTTCATAACACAAAATTTAGGAGTAACCATGCGGTTTAAGTTATGCATCTTTTACAGTGCCAGTTACATTTTTCCGTCACTACGCCAGTAAGAGGAACATTTGTCTTTCTCGCACTTGTTTTATGCGAGCACTACGCCATCTGCAGGTACATGTTTAGAGTTGGATTTTAGTACAATTTTCAACAGATAACAGGTAGTAATTCAGCTGGAAACCGTTAACAGTTATGGTAAGCGATACGCTGCTATTGTGGTAAGCCTGGTTTTAGTACACGTTCATTAATCTTGATTTGGTCACAGTAGGAAAATTTTGCTTTCATTTTAGTCGTGTACTTGCATGGATACTATCCATGGTCAATGCGCAAGCGCCAACCCTAGCGCACGCGTGGCGGTTAAACCATGTCTTGAATGATGCACAGAACGAGTGTGCACTAACAAAAGTTGGCGCCGTCCTCAAGGACTCTACCATCTGTCTGGGTCGTTGTCTGTGGGCACGACAACAATAGGGTTTTGTTTTACGACATAATAACGTTATACGGACCTCTTTTCGGGGAAGATAATATGATATTGACCCTGTTACAAGACAACTAAATTTTATTCTAGGAGAGAGGATTTCATGGCAAAAAAGGTCCTCCTTTTTCCTGACTAATAAAGTGGAGAAGTTTCTCACCAACACACTTGTTAGCCTCCCTAATGTAACCAGTCTTGCAAGAACATTGATAACCTCCTTTAGTGTTATGACATATAGAATTATGATCACAAGGATCGGGTGTTTGGCGACACTCATCTACATCTGAAAAAAGCAAACCATTGTTGAAAATTAAAATGCAACAAGAACAACATTGTTTTCAAGCCTGTATATACAGAGGAGGGTTTGCAACATCTGAAGTTTACGCTGTCCCGAGGGCCGAGTTCAGTTCCTAATTTCAACGCGATTTAGAGGGAAAAGAAGTAATTTGTACTTATGAACGTCACTAACGTTCATAAGAACAAATTACTTGATTTGTTTTAACTCATGTTGCTAGTGGCAGAAAAATAAGGTTTGTACTCAAAAAGAATTCTTAACTGGTTACCAGAATTACGAAACACTTATAACTTAAGGTACTTGTTACCAATATACTGACACAGATCCTAATGTTTTCCTGAAATGTACCATTTGCAACAAACTGCAGTGTCTTCTAAAACCTAGCCTGCGAGCAGGCTCACCTTTGAGTCACGCGCGCGAGCGGTGAAGAGCAAAGCGATCCGGTGGGAAGGAGCCTGGTGAAGAGGCGCCAAGAAAGTCTCGTCTTATGGCTTCGCCGCTCGATTTTGCGCTTGCGACCACGCCACGCGCACTTCTGCTCCAACGTGAGCGAGCTCGCAAGCTATCTAAAAACTATTTTGTCATTTACTTTGCAACATATTTTAAGGTGGCCGAACACAGTTTCTTGCTAATGCGATTCAGCGCGCGCTAAAGGATTGCAAAAAACAAACATGCCGTCGATACAGCGATTATTTTATTTGCTTAATGCCTGCACTATCTGTACTATTTTTCTTCGTAATTGAATGTAGTGTATAGATGGTTTTAGTCTTTTATTACAAAGGTATGTTAGAAAAGGTAACGATGCGAAAAAACCCAGCAATAGCAGATTTGCACGTTGCCGTCATTTGACTACAACTACCAAAATTCCTTTCGTTTTTTCTTTCCTATTTAAATTTTGAATTCCCAGCGAGGTTTAAATAACAATTGCCCTAATTAGCACAAGAAACAGAAAAAGTGAAGGATTCTGGTAGTTGTAGTCAAATGACGCCATCATGCAAATCGCCCATTCTTAACCTTTCCTTCGTTACCGAAAGAACCCAGTTAAATGCAGCGCATGAGTAGTAGGTCAAAAACATTGCGATTGAATGCGGAATAGCTTTGTCGGAAATACGCCTATTTCTCGAGAACCACTCATTAGAATTTCGCGAAATTTGGCACGAAATTACTTTAGGAAATAAATATCTGGAGTATTGAAAAAAATTGACCTTTAACAAAGGAAATTCTAGATGTTCCAGTGAACCTTCCGCAAGGGATAACTAAAGTTCTGTCTGTTACATTGGGTAGACCTGCACCCCTTTAAAACTTCTATTTTGATTCGTTCTTGCTAATCTGCAACTCTTTTGTTTTTACGGCTAGGGGCATTATTTGTGTTGTATAC